ATAGATCTCTTCCAATCAGTTGGCCAAGTGGTTGTTCTCCAGATTTCTTCGAATAACTTGGTGAGCACATCCATGCCAGGATCTGTTAGTTGAAATACATAAATTGGTATACTATCTATTTCTGGGGCCTTATCTTTTGCTATTTCCTTCAAAACAGCCTGAACTTCTTTCTTCATCACCCTTGGCTCTTGCTAATATGTTGTTTCATGAAATTCTTCTGTGTCTGCCAATTCCTTTTGATACAGTGGTTCAGTATCATCTTCTTTTAATGCTTCCTGGATGATTTAATATTCTGCCTAAATAAAGTTTTAAAACTTCCTCTAACTCTATAGATCACAACTATTAATACAATTCAATATAACTTTCAATTTTGATAAAAAGAAGAAAAGACACATATAATTTGCATAAGAAATAAAATGGTGACCACAACAGAATTAACCAAAATAGAAAAAAAAACCTACAAAAAACTAATGGACTAACATGAAAAGGTATACTCAAACAAATTTGAAAACCCAGAGTCCTGACTCAATGGTACTCAACAACAACGAAAGAGGAAATGGACAAATTCTTAGAAACTCACACTTTATCCAAATTGACAGAAACAGTAGTGGAGAACTTGAATAGACTAATAACAGAAGAAATTTAATTTGTATGCTGGGCAAATCATTCACGAGGATGGACTTTATGAAGAAGAGTGTGCCATTATGATTGACAGAAGACTTATCAACAGCTTGTCTTATGTAGAGGAAAATATGCTATTTGTTGAAAGCAAGGAGGACATTAAATACTTGCTGCAGAAGATCAAAGACTATATAGCCTTTAATATGGATTACATCTCCACATCAAGAAAACAAAAATCCTCACCACTGGCGAATAGGCAATATCAAGATAAATAGGAAAAAGTTTGAAGTTATCAATGATTTCATGTTCCTTGGATCCACAATCAACACACATGGTACTCGCAGTCAAGAAATCAAAAGGCTTGTTGTTGTTGTTGTCGTCTACTATTGAGTAGGAATCAACCCATAGCTGACCCTCTAGTGGGTTTTCCAAAGCATTAAACCACACAGGAGGAGAGAGCCCATCCTCCCATGGAGCAGCTGATGGATTTGAACTGCACAGCTTGGGAATTGAGGCTTAGCATCTTACGACTAGGCCATCAGAGTTCCCATGTTACACTAGGAAAAATCTACTGTCAAAGAATTCTCATTGCTAAGACACAGTGATGTCAGTTTAAAGACTAAGATTCATCTGATTTAAACCATTTTCTTTTCAATTGCTTTGAATACATCTGAAAATTGGACTTTTAAAAAGAATAACAAGAATCAATGCCTTTGAGCTATGATGTGGGAGAAAAGGACTGGATATATATCCCATGTACTGGCAAAAGAATAAACAAGGCTGTCTTGGAAGAAGTACAAACACAATTCCTTGGACTCTAGGATTATGAAACGTCATCTCATACACTTTGGACCTGTTGTCAGGAGGATCCAATCCTTGAAAATATATATCATACTGGGAAAGGTGTAGGGTTAGAGAGAGCTGGGAAACCCTCGACAGCTCATTCATAGTGTTGTTACTAGTTCTAGTTGACTGGATGGCACCTAACACCAACAAGAGCACCTGACCTGTAAAAAGAAAAACAAATAAACAAACAGAAACCTAGTCACAAAATTGACAGAAGATATGAAAATCTCTTCGTCAAAGATGATATTCAGTTGGCTAATGATCACATAAAGAAATATTCAAGACAACTATCTTTTAGAGAGATGCAAATTAAAACAATGAAATATCTCATCTGAGCAACAATAGCTAAGTTAACAAAACACAACAACACATGTAGATGAGAATTCAAAGAGAATCCTCATGCACATCTGGTGGAAATGTAAAATGGTACAACCACTACAGAAGCCAGTCTGACATTTTCTCAAATAGTTAAAAGTAGAAACCTTCTCTGATCCAGCTACTTCACTGTTGGGAATATGTCCTAAAGAAATCAGAGGGGAGACTATATGTACAACTTATCTTTCCTGAAACATTATTCATAACAGGAAGGAGATGGAAGTAGCCCCAAGTGACCACCAATAAACACATAGAATCATAATACATTCACATAATGGAATATAATATGGAGAATTTAAAAGCACTGAAGTTGTGTGAAACACTTCACAACATACACACATCTAGAGGACATTGTACTGAGTGAAATAATTTGTCCACCAAAAACTTCAAATACTATATAAGACCTCTATTTTTTTTAAAAAAAGTTATAGGTGCCAGACAGGGAGAAAACAAGAGTAGAATGGATATGCAATGAACAGTGTAGTAGAGTAGAAGAGAAGATCACTCTGGAACAAATGGACTATCAGCTAATATGTATTAAAATTAGCAATCTGGAACAAGACATACATAACCAATTGAAAGGGAACGAGGAAGAAGAGAAGCAGAGAGAAGAGGGAGGAAAAGAAAAAAAAATAAAGTAAGGGACGGTTTACCCACAGACAAAAAAAATTGCAGAGAATTAACCAGAAGTAATGGGAGGGAAAAGGAAGAGAGCAGAGATTAGCAAACTAATTAACAAACTAGAATAAAGTTAAGAGAAAGGAAGAGGACAGTGAGGTTTGGACAAGACATTATATCTAAGGGCATTGTACAATGGTGTTTATCGTTATTTATTATTTTTTCATTAATTATGGATGACTTTGAACTGTGGTGCTGGAGAAGCATATTGAATATACCATAGACTGCAAGGAGAACAAACAGGTTAGCCCTAGAGAGGGTGAAGCCAGGCTGCTCCTGGGAAGCAAGGATTCTAAAGCTTTGTCTGACTTACTTTGGACATGTTGCAAGGACGGACCAGTCCTTGGAGAGGGACATCATACTATTAGGAGGGTGGAGGGACAGCACAGGAGAGGAAGATCCTCAATGAGATGGATTGATTCAGTGACTGGAGTAATGGAAGGGTAAGTGTGTCATAAATTTGTACAGGATAGAGGTAGCTTTAGGGGTTTTGTACGGAGGGTCACTATGAGTCTCAGGTGACTCAGCAACACATAACAACAACAATAAACAATTACTGTTATTATTTAAAAAAAAAACAAAGAAGAAAAGGGGAGGGGAGTTCCACTGGAAGACTTAGCACTCTTGCTTGGCCAAACTTTTCGTCTTTACTTCTGCTATGCCTTTTTCCTGGAATTACATTCCTTGTAAGACCCTCCCCCACCTGCTCTCCAGTTGCCCATACTTATCTGAGAAAAACATGGCATTATCTCTTACTAGTCACTGTCAGAGTCTTTTTTCAGTCACATTTGTTTGGCCAGTCTTATATGTCTATGTCACAGGTGACCAAATGTATTCTTATGAGCTTTACTCTTCCTTCCTGATGAGTAAAAAAAATTAATATAGTTACTTTCAGCTATTTGTCTAAGTGCACCTACAGTTCAAATCTTCTAAAGAGACTAGTAATGTTCTCTTTAGATTTTAACATTAATTATATGTTTTCTATTATTTTTATATTATAAAGGCAACATGAAAGAAATTTGTTGAACATTTGAAAGGTCATGCAGTGATCTTTTCCTAAATCGTTCCATGCTGGATTAATATTTATCCTATTCCACTTTATGAAGTTTTGAATTCTAAAACTATAATTAAGTAAGTACTAATGGTTTCAAACTTCTACCAGTAAATGGCTTTAGTGCTGACACATCCAAAAAAGAAATCCTCCAGAAAAGTGTACAGACACATTAACTGCATTTAGTCTTGCATATATTCAGAAATAGATATTCATGATTCAATATTAAGAAGACAAAGATTCTTACCACTCGGCTAATCGGCAACATCAGGATGGATGGTGAAGAGATTGAGATTGTTCACAGCTTTAGTCTGCTTGACTCCGCAGTGAACACTCTTGGCACGAGAAGCCAGGAAATTAAAAGATGCATTGCCATGGGAAAGTCTGCTGTTAGGGACCTCTCCAAAGTACTGAAAAGCAATGGTGTCACTCTGGAGACTAAGGTGAGTCTGATACAGGCCATGGCCTTTGCAATCACTTCCTATACATCAAAGAACTGGCCAATGACTAGGGAGGATAGAAGGAGAATTGATGCCTTTGAGCTGTGGTGATTGAGAAGAGTATTCAACGTACCATGAACCGCTAAGAAAACAAACAGGTTCATCCTGGAGAGGGTTAATCTGGGCTGCTCCTTGGAGGCAAGGATTCTGAGGCTTTGTCCGACGTACTTTGGACATGTAGCAAGGAGGGACCAGTCCTTGATGAGGGATGTCATTCTTGGGAGGGTGGAGAGAGAGCACAGGAGGGGATGACCCTCAATGAGGTGAGTTGATTCAGTGACTGGGATTATCAGGTTGGGTGTGTTGGAGACAGTGAGATTGGCACAGGACAGAGCAGGGTTTAGGGATGTTGTATGTAGGGTTGTTATGAGTCGCAGGCAATTCGACAGCACATAACAACAAACAACAAAAATATTCAGAATTGGATAATCATGTGGAAGTGAACACATCTTTAAATACCTTTTGTCATACTGCCACCAAAAGTAGGGACATTAAAAAAAGGAAGATAAGGTACATAAGGTAGATAAGGAATGATATTTAACATTTTACTTGAAATTAGTTTGAAATTTATGGAAATGTAAAAAGAAAGAAATACAGAGCAAAAAAAATGTCAATGTGCCATTTATTAATCTATTAATATGTTCCTTCTTTATCATCTCCCTCCATATTTCCCTCTCTTCTTCAACAGCTCATTTGACTTTTATATCTAAATATCTGTAGTTTGCATCTCCTAATAATACAAATATTCTCCTACAGAACAATATATATAAAAAAACTCCACAAATACTAAAAAGGATGAAATTTTGTGGGAAAATGTGATAGGAGAATTTGAGCCATTATGTTGGCACAGACCTCCAAATTCCAATAAATATAGAAAAAGAAAATAAATTATTATTACTAATATTACCTACATTACAATTTTTGAATCACACTTTCATAGTGAATAATTTCTTTACAATTCCCATAACATCCTTATTCCTAAGACTATAGATTAAAGGGTTTAGTACAGGAGTGAGGATAGTGTAAAAGAAAGATACTACCATGTCTTTTTCCGGGGTGTGGTAGGAGCTGGGGATCATGTAGGTGTAGATGGCAGCCCCATAGAAGAGAGTGACCACAGTCATGTGGGAGGAACAGGTGGTGAAGGCCTTCTTCCGGCCCTCTGCTGAATTCATCTTATGGATGGTAAGGAGGATGAAAGAGTAGGAACTTGAAATTACTATCACAGGTATGAGGAGCATGAGGACACAGCACAGGTACATGAGTGTCTCAATTAGTGAAGTGTCAGAACAAGAGAGCTTCATTATGGCAGGGACCTCGCAGAAAAAGTGATGAATCTCCCTGGATCTGCAAAAGGGGAATGTCATGGTGATGGGAGTGAGCATAAAGCCATCCACTGAGCCCAGGAACCAGCAGCCAGATGCTAGGAGAATACATATCCTTTGGTTCATAAGGACAGGGTAACGGAGTGGATGGCAGATGGCCATGTAACGGTCATAGGCCATGGCAGCTAGAAGGAAAAATTCTGATCCTACTAGTGTCGCATAGAGAAACATCTGTATCCCGCATTCAGGGATTGATATCTTTTTGATACCTGTGACTTGGTCCATGAGCATCTTGGGCACAGTAACAGAAATGTACATCACATCCATCAGAGACAATTGACTGATGAAAAAGTACATAGGAGTATGGAGGTGAGCATGAGAGTGTATTAGGAGGATGAGGATGCCATTCCCAGATAAGGCCATGAGGAAAATCACAAAAATGACCACACAGAGCAGAGTGGGATGTTTAGATTGACTGAAGAGTCCCAACAGGATGAAATCAAATTCTCCAGTGTGATTGACCAACTGTGTGCTGTTCTCCATGAGGTTTCAGCTAGGGAATTAAAAACAGAGCTTTGAGATACCAAATATTGATGAGGATAAGACCATATGAAATGTACACACATGCACACACTGGCTTGCACACCCACATAAGCATAAATAAGTAAACTTGATTTGGGTAATAAAAGAAAATTCTGTGGTTTGGCAAATGTCAGTGGTATTTGTGAGCATATAATCATTTGTAATTTAACATAATATATAAGATGAGAAATTCATTTATAGCTGTGATTTTCACGGATTGTTAACCTATATCAAAATTGGCATAACTAAAAAAAAAGAAAAAGATGAAAATGGAAAAAATAATTGGCCCAACTCTTCATAATTAACTTTTGTGCTCATCTTTCAACAGCTTTTGGAAACTTGAAGAACTATCATTCAAATCATTTTTTTAAAAAAGAAAAAATATAAATTGAGGAAAATAGGAAGAAAAATTTAAAATCAAATTTCTGGTTGGACCGTGTTTGGTGGAGCTCCTGAGTAAAACAATCTTGAAAGCAGGAGTGGCATCCACTTCCCTAATAGCTTGCCTGAAGAAAGGCTGAAAGTCATGCAAGTGTTGAGGACTTTCATTCATAGGGTCGCTATGAGTCACCTACGACTCAACAGTACTTAACAACAATAACAACAATAAACTTTATTATGGACGTAAGAGCTAAATTAACACCTCTGGTTGATGACACAACAGGAATCATAAAACGTTTATGGTATGGCTAACTACTCAGAGAAACAGATTTCAGATCTGGATCAAACTCCTCTAACTGCATTTCAACTACTTATTCTTTATTCTTTTATTCATTCGCCATAGAAAGAATAAGAACAAAGTTTTATCTCAATGTGCAGTAAGGATTAGATTAGGTACTTGATAGAGATAAGTAATCATGCAAATCATTAGTTCCGAGTGTACTATTTAAGTTTATTACTGTGCATTACCTACAGAAGACTTGGTTTTTACTATTTCTGTGTAATGATAACATTATTTTGGTTCTTCAATTTCAACATCATAAGCATTATTTTTTTAAAGTATTTATCTGATCATTTTTGTGGCATACACAGTTTTATTTTGTTTGTTTATACTCTGGATGATGCAGAGTTTTAAAATAAATTCTACCTTACTTCTACCAATTACATGTTAGAATGTTGTTCATTTTGTTAGAGGCTCATAAATTTTTTCCCCCAGTGTTTCTATGCATAATACACATTAGAAGTAAAATCAGTCACTTTTTCTTTGCCAAAATTCAATCTGAAGAAAATAATATATCATCAAATAACATAGGAAGATTAGATTTTTTTTGTCCGTTATTATTTTGAAATAAAAACATGATTCCTTATATGATTCAGTGTTTTAAAAAATAATTCAAATAAATAGTACTTACTTTTCTCCACAAAATAAATATCAAAAACTAGAAAGAGAATCAAGAAATGTAGCCAAGAATCCCTGGAATATTTCACAACAGAAAAACAAATTGAAAATGTTGATTACCCTTTACTCTTGTAGTTCGGTCTACATGGTGGTTGAACCATCAGACGAGCTTGAGCATCTTCTGGGTGAGTGAATGGAGAGTGATCATGGTTATAAGTTTACAAAGAGAAGTGACATCATCTCTAGTTGTCCTCTACCTCTTAAGGGAGCAAAGTTTCTGTTGACATATTCCCTCTGGAACATTTGAAAAAATGCAATTAAAAAGATATAGAATTTAACATATATCATCATTTTACTCTCCTCTCTTGACTTTATTTTAAATCCTTTTACTGTCAAACTCATTTTTCAACCTGAAGGGTTCATCTACCAGTAAAGGAATCAGAGTGACTACATCTGTGGAAAAAATTGATGGAGAAGCTCAATATTATGTGCACATTGTAATTGAAGCTGAAGAAAATTAAAATGGGTTGATAAGAACCAAAATGCAACCTTATTTCTATGTTAACTGAAATTAAAAACAATCTTGGGAAAGTAAAAGAAAAATTCTTTCATTGTTTTACAATCCCTTTCCCCAGGTCCACTCCATTATTCATCCTTCACTCTGGACTCCTGTCATGACAAAAATACCTAATAATTTTCCCTCTTAAGCAGTCTTCTCCCTCATCCGTTTCAATGCAATATACATTATTGAACCCATCCTTCTCAGTCTCTTCCCAACCCCGAG